GATTCAACTTTTTTTCATAGGAATTTTGATCTATTCGTTTTATAAAGGTAATAGCATCTAACCAAATATACTATCTCCTCATTAATTAAAGAAGTTCTTTTATTTTCAATACCACTCTTTTAATAGTGATAACAATTTAAACATATAAGTTAAAAAATTGCTATAAGTTTCTAATGTTAATTGAAAATTTACCTAATTATTAATAATTAAAGCGATTGATAATACATTCTAAAAATTTAATACAAAAAAATAAATGAAAATTTCTCTGACATATGTAAAAAAAAGTATGGTCGATAATAAATTATTAACATTTCTATTGGATAGTTGGCTTTTTGAAGAGCTTGCTATTGATTTATTTATAAGTTATTTGACCTTTAAAATGTAAAATAATTTAAATACTGTTTTACAATTAATCATTGACATTATGTATGAAAAATTAGTTCTTACTTAACACTGGAAATACTGGAATACTTGTAAAACTGATACAGCTTCTTTTTCGCTTGGTAGTGGGATGCATTCTATACCATCACACTTTAGTTAAAATTATATCTTAATGTTAGACTATCATTGTTTTATTAGTTAGTTAACAACAGAAATATATCATTATTCACTCACATTATCATTTTTATCATAATTATTTTGGCTACTTTAAACACCTCATTTATTTTCCTGTAGATGCTACTCTTTACGGAACTGATTTCTTTACTTTTTCTAAATGATGAAGCTAAATTATCAAATAGCCTTTCACCTGTCTCCTCATCTGTATTATTATATTCATCTGATTCAGAGCCGATTGGTTCCTTTATGAATTTGCTAATTATTAGTTTATATTTCCAGATTTTAATCGAGATAATAAAAGTTTAATAATCTTACCTAATTATTCGAATTTAAATTTTGTGTTTTATTTTTTTAAATGATCTCGCTCTTCTTATCGAATTCACTTGAATTGTTCATGTCATCTACGTCAAAACTCAATTCCATATTACTTTCTTGAATATCCATATTTACAAAATCTATTTCAAATGATAAACCACTAGGTTGTCTAACAAGATTAATATCTTCAGCTTGAATAGTCTATATATTTTTCATTATATTAGCATCTTTATAGGACAACTTAAGAATAATGTAATTATTTTTTTTACTTTGTGGTTTTTATCATCAATTATCATTTGATCTTTTTTATTTACTTCGGCAAAGTTTACGATCTTTAGAAAATTTTCTTTATTAATGATTACACAACTCAGTGCGTCCAAGTTTATTGTATTAGATATTCCGTCGTTGAGAGTAAGGGTAGCTGAAAGTAAGGAATCATCATTAAAGATTACTGCTGCAGCTTTTCTACCTGTTGCTTTCCAAATAAAATTAATCGAATTTTTAATTATTTTGTCTTTGTTCTCTACGGGTTTAATCATGGATAAATTTTCTAAGAAATCAAGTAGTATCAAAGGTGAGAAATATATTTGACTAAAATGTCATTGTTGCGAATTTTTTATTATCAATATGTTATTTTGTAGTAATATCATTATATAATATCAGTAATTAGTCAATGTAATATTTTAATTTTTTATAGTCTATTTATAATTATAGGATGATAGAACAATCACTTTCTGCATATAATATTTATAATTTTTACCTACATGGAACCATCTCAATGACTTTAATTATTTCTAAAACTGATGAGATGGTTATATTTATATTTGCTTCATATTAATTACTGTAGATTTTTAATATAGTTAACTTGGATGTTCATTTGATAGTGACTATTTTATTAGCATTGCTACTTGAATGTTTGAGATAGTATATTTGGTTAGATGCTATTACCTTTATAAAACGAATAGATCAAAATTCCTATGAAAAAAAGTTGAATC